GCGGCTGTGCAGCAAGCTGAAGCCGAAAGGATTTCAGCAGACTGACAGTTTTGAGATTCGGAGCGATGAAAGGCAGGTGGAGGCCCTGGGCCCGAGGTATGCGTGGAGGTCACATGTAATGCGGTTATGCTGCCTGACGTCTTGAAGACTGGCATCTTAGATCACAAGCTCTAGATCACAGACCGCCATCATCGCAAGGCAGATTGAAGACAGCACGGGCCCTTTCACACTTTGACGGGCTTAAGTCTTGGTGCTTGTGATTCCAAGCAACTTCAAGTGCAGAAGGTTTCTCAGACTAGGAGATAGAAATGTCATTTCCCTACGGCATTATTGTTGTTTAAGGGCCTGGCTTTGAGTACCCCACAAATCTTCTTTCATGGGAGGATTTTCTTGGAGACCTTTGAGCTGAATCTGGTCTTGCTTGTAAAGCCTTTTGCCGCTTATGCTTCTGAAACTTCAAGAAGCTGCAACAGTAGCAGGTTCTGAAATCCTTTGAGATTCCGAGAGCACAGAATCTGGCCTGCTGAAACACGCTGCATCTGGAGCCTGCAAGTTCTGTGGTTCCTGAAGCAGCTGAGAGCGGCACAAGCTTGGATTTGCACGCTTGAGGGCTTGCATGTAACCTGTACATGATGCTCTGGTTGTTGCAGACCTGCATGGCAACCATTCTCAAGATGCTGGCTGTTCTGCAGGGCGATTCTCCAACACTCCTGGTGCGGAAGGGTGCCGAACTCTTCAAGCAGGGAAAGCTTCTTGAGGCACTGTGTCTGTGGTCAGTCGAGGCTTCTCTTCAGAGACGGAGTTTTGCTGACCTGCAAGGCTGAGCGCCTCTTGACCCAAGCGATTGACTACCTTGACCGAAAGGACTTGGGATGCGATATCTTGTTGTCATTTGCTGGAGACCCTTGAAGCCAAAGAGTCACAGCAATGGTAGTATGACATACCACAAGTGACACAGCAGTTCTAACAGGCAACAATGATGCACCTTGCGACGCGCTGTGGAGTCTCACCAAATCAGGGATTGAAATTCCGGCCGGACGACTTGGCTGCGTTTCTGCATGAGCTAGCTGCATGATGGGTGGATGGAGGAAATGTTGCACAACCCTGTAGGGAAGTTTCCCAAAACAGGGGGACCCCAACATAAACACCAAAATACTATCATCCTTCTTACAGGGAACCCCAACAAGCTACCCCTAATGTTCGAAAACCCTCTAAGCTCCCTAGAATGGTAAGTGCAGTAGATATGTATTTTACGTGGAAGTCCTCAACTTCAAGCCTCAAGAAAAGTACCACACGCTTGGCACAAGCGGTGAGAATTCAACAATTGCCCCGTTTGCTTTGCAATTTGGAAGCCATATCTTACCCCCAAACTAACATGGTCAAAGGATGGCAGTTTTTTTTTTCTCTGGTTCCATGTTAATTTACGGGAGGGTACCTGCGCTTCCTCACGTGAATCTCTATGTTCTGGGCGCATTTTGGGTCCCACTTCTTGACAGCTATCGTATAGGGCTTCCTGACCTGAAGTTTTGGGTCTTATGCATGCCGTACAGATCTATACTGTTTCGAGGCAGATAGGGGTGCCTGGGGTTGAGAAACTCCCTGGCCGGCATCAACCTGCAGGAGCATGGAGGTCCCATTGAAGTGCTGGCAGCTCAGCCACTGAGGGCGCTAGCCTTCGACGCTTTGGAGGCACGAAATCAGTGCAAAGGGGTTATGGTTGTGTCGGTTATATGACGCCGGCGCTGGCGCTGGTGCTGGCGGAAGCAGTTGTTCGTGCAGCAGCAGGAGTAGATCGTTTCGTTTTGCAGTTTGCTGTTGCTACCAGAACTTTGTATTATTGCCATGCTTGGATGGTGGAGGTAAAGGCAGAATGCTTGGCAGCCGGCGGCGACTTCGTGCCGTGCTCAGAAATCTTTGCCGGACTGCTTTCAAGAGTTCAAACGGAAAAATGGCCAAAGTGAAGTTAAATGAGCTATAGTCTAAACTCCTTAAAGGGGGTAAGGGGGATACTAGGAGTTTAGACAATGGCTCAAATGATAAAATCATGAGTGTAGGTCACATTCCTGAGCCGAGGAGCTTGGTTGCTTTGTCACCTGAACCCGGCACTCCCCGAACACCACCTCCTGAACCCCCTGAACCGCCTAAAACCCCTAAACCACCTCTACCCCCTGAAGCCTAAACCCTCAAACCCGAAATCCGAATCTAAACCCAAAACCCTACTATGATGAAGTAGTATGCATTTTCTTTTTCACTATCCCTATATAACACTAAACCCTAAACCGCACGTGGCTCGCCAAGTAAGGGAGTATATTAGTGCCTCCCCCAAAAGTACCCCCCAGATTTGGAATACTATTCTGCCTTATAAAGCTATATCTAATCCTTATTAGCTCCTTAAATCTGGGGGGGGTACCTTCTAAACCCTAAACCCTAAACCCTAAACCCTAAACCCTAGACCCTAATAACCCCTGACCGAGGCAGCTTCCCTGAAATGCGGCGGGCAAGCCGCTGGCCTCCTCGAAGCAAAGGCGCCTTTCGCAGAGCCCGAGCGAAGCAGGCCTGCTTGCATTGGACTTGGTAGGGTTTAGGTTTCAGGGTTTATAAGGCTTAGGGCTTATGGTTTAACATTTAGGGCTTAGGGTTTAAGGATTATGGCTGAAGGGTGAAGGCTCGGGGTTTAGGGTTTAGGGGGCTTAGGGTTTAGGGTTTAAGGTTAGGCTTGTTGAGGTTGAGATACCTATGAAGGGGCCATGTGGGGTTATAGGGATTATGATATAGGGTTTGGACTTGCGGTTTGATCTAATGTGCCATGGGGAACTTACATGTTTAGGGTTCACGGTTTAAGGTTTTAGGGTCTAGGGTTTAGGGTAGTGTGGGGCATAAGTAATAAGGTGGATTGTAGTCTGCTTCCGCTAGTCTTGCATTTTGGGGAAACAAATGCTTTTGCAAACGCCATAGTACAGAATAACGAGGTGCCTTGTGGTTGTCCCCCCTGTCGTCTCCCTGCATAAGAGTTCCAAAAGGGAAAGCTGTCTGGGCATGTGTGGTTAGTAAGTGTGAGGACTTTGTGGTTGGGGATGGAAGACGCTTGAAGGCGGAGATTCCTGCATTTGAGCACCCTGCAGGACTATGAATCCTAGAAACCGATACAGCGCACGAATGCTTTTTTGTCTAAAACATGTTCTGGCAGTGATTCTGACGTGGTGTGACAAAATTGAAAAGGGAAGCGGTTTCTCTGTTTGCCGTCCAATCAAGTTTTGAAACCATATAATAGTGCGATCGAGTGCTGTGCTGCGCACCTGAGGCGCGAAGGCCTGCTGTATCTATCCTTGGGACATGCTGCAGAGGCTGCCCGAGACAAGGCTAGTCTGTGTGCAGAACATCAAGATTGACAGCCAATTGACAGCCAAAAATATGTAAATGACAAAAATCGTGTCAGCAATCACAGACATCAAGACTCATGTGAATAACGATGCATCAATTTGGGATTGTTCGTTGGGACCATCTGCTCGGCGCATTAGAACCTGGGTAGCAACATATTTGCGTTAAAGCCTGGTACGCTTACTAGCAGCTTCTGCAGATTGCTTTTAGGTGTGTAACAGGTCTTCTTAGGCTATGGCCAAAAACAAAGCTGTGAATGCAGTTGAAGCTCAGGTTGTGAACTTGTTTTGTATTCGAACAACCCCAAGCTATTTAACAGTGCCATGGGGTTTTCTCAAAGCCATTGGGCTTTTTCTACGCCGTTTGCTAGGCCGTTTGCGAGGCTAAGCAGTAGAACAGAGTTTCAAGTCTTGTTGCAATTCGGCAGATGGCCGGTACGCAGACATTGCAAGGCTTTAGCTGAGCTCTCCTGTGGGAGTGGCAGTTAGGGGCGCGGGCCGCGGGGAGCTCCAGAATTGAGCAAGGCACGGATTTCGCAAGCACCTTGACCTAATGTAATGGTGCAGCAAGAGAGGAGGAGTGGCGCAAATTGAATAGGGTCAAGCATGCGCCGCAGGTCCATTCAATCATGCGCAGTTTGGAAATAGTATGTCCACCTCTATTTCAAGAAAGACATCCGGTGAGCAAACCCAAAAGGCTTCTAGCCTTGAAGCCCTGACCTCAAACCCCAACCTCAAAACCCTAAATCCCAAACCCTCAGCAACCGCTTTGCAACTTGAGAGGATGCGCTATCCTTCTTTCGGAGAGCAGCACAAGCACTCCAGAGGTCGGTCCCTATAGTACCCCTTAAGTAGATAGAACATGGGGTATAGGGGGATCTTATCATAATATACTCAAAGTCATATTTAATCTACTTAAGAGGTACTATAACTACAACCATGTTTTTTACTGTCATTTTTTCTCTTGCTACTACTATTTTTAGTGCTGCTATTATTGGTATTAGTTCGATTTTTTCCATTATTGCTATGAGTATTATTACTGCCATTATTCTCATTGGTATTATTTCTATTACTCTTTTTTTGTACTTCCACCGCCATTGCTACTACTATTGTTATATTGCTACTACTGTTGCTATTGCATTTCTTGAGCAAATGTCCAGCCACGCTTTTGGGGTTCAGGGTTTGCTGGTTCGTGGTAGTGATGGGGTCTCTATTCGGGATTTCTTGCGATTGTTTTGAGAAACCTCCATGTTGCACCTCTGATGCCTGGTTTCCCTTTGAGCTATAGTCTCAACTCCTAGTATCTCCTTTAGTAGTAACCTTCATATTAGTCCCCTATAGAATCCCCTATAGAATCCCCCACAGAAGCCCCTTTAAGGAGTTTAGACCCTAGCTTGTTTGGGTGTAGATATTACTTCTCAACAGACTTGGAATTCCCAAGATGGCAAAGTACTTTTTATCATTTGTCTTTGTTGCTTCCCTAGGCTTGGGTGATGGATCCTAGAGCCCCAGCCCCAAAGCCTAAACCCTAACACCTGAGCCCTAGACCATGAACACTAAACCCTGAACCCTGTAAGCCCTAAGCCCTAAACCCTTAACCCCTAAGCCCTAAAGCCAAATCCCGACACCCTGCAAAGGTCAGATGCATCGCCTTCTGTGGAAGGGAGGGCCTTGCTCGAGTTTGGCCTTCGCTTGGTTCAGGCAACCGCTACAGGGTTCCTGCTATGCTACAGGGGTCGTACTGTGAATGAAGGAAATCTTGCACCACGTTATATACTTCACATGCGAGGAAATACAGTGTAGGGGGAATCTTAATGGTGCAAGATTTCCTCCCCATCCAGTGCAGGGTCATGCGCCGTGGGTTTAAGATTTTCTGAACCCCAAGCCCTAAAACTTAAACCTTAAACCCTAAACCCTAAACCCTAAACCCTAAACCGATTATTCAGGGTTGTAATCCAGTCGCTTAGGAGTTTGAAGGGGGGGTAGCGGTCTTATATTCAGGCTGCATTAGCAGAATGAAAAGCTTACAACACGCTCATCGACTGTCCTATATCAGTTTCCACACTGTTACCCTGCCGTTGCGTTATGAAGGGAGCTACCTTCATTCGTGCTAGATCTCAAAAACAGTACGAGACGGTACGAGACTTTGGTACCCTCCACATTGCTCGCATGTAGTCTCTGCGCAATCCCTCGCGAATCCACAGATACGCGTCAAGTGTCCCACAGTTTCCCAGTGGTTTTGGTTCAGTGCTCTTTCAAGGGTGTCATAAAGTTTTAAGAGCACGAAGCCTTCTGGAGCCTGCATCTTGAGACAGCCCACCGTTGTGTATGAGTTCATTTGCACACGGGGCCTTGGCTGTACCCCTCATATACTCGACTCCTACGCGATGCTTTCTTACCCTGCTATACCTTTACATAATCCCTACATTCCCTTGCACATGCTTATATAGTCCCTGTATACTCCCATATGTACATATGTATATAGGCATGTTCCCACATAATCCCTTTATCACCCTTTATAACCCTAGTATAATCCTACAAATCCATATATATATATATATCCATCCATAAGGCTCAGAGCGGTAGCCGATCCCATTTTGCACCGTTTCTGAGCCACGTCAACTTTTCCACTTTTGTTCATTCCAGTTGGCCTATAAGGGTTTCATGTTCTTATGCAATTTTCCTTCATTTGGCATGCTCTTGTGGCGTTCTTTGCATTTACACTAATCCAGATTTACGTTATCCAACATTTTCAGCTATGGCGACAGCAGATGACAAAGCTCCAGCGCCTGCGGCAGCTCTGACTGCGCCGACTGACGCAACTGACTCCCATGGAGCAGCACCCGGGCTCTTGGCTACAAAAGCTGAATCCTCCCAATCCACAAAGCCAGACACTCCATCCAATATTGATAGACACCATACTCCTTGGACCTGATTCGAAAGTAGAGAAGTACTCCGATGGCAAGATCATTGTCACAACAGGAGGCACTCAAGAGATCATATCAGAAATGCTCTACCAGACCTTCCTGAAACAAAATATGGAGAGAGTAGCATCATCCTCAATTCCCACTGGACTAGCATCTCAAATGGAAGAAGAAGATTCCGAACCAATAGAGTGGGGAGATATGGACCCCTCATTTGCTAGGATGTTGCAGTCCACACCCTCCATGTTACAGGCATACAAAGCGCTCCGCTCCCCAAAGAAAATGGCTAAATTGGATACTGCATTAGGCTCCTTTCAACCCAGCACCAATGTGGCCCTCCCAGAGGCTGCTCCTACCGTTACCTTACCAGAATCTGTTACTCTAGAGAACATCAAAGATACCATCCAGAACTACCATGATACTACAGTACAGCCCTCCTTTGAGATCCTCAACAAACACATTAGACAAGAAGTCATCAGTAGACTTGAAAAATCAGAGCTCAACAACTTCTTAGGGTCACAGACCCTCAATGCAATTGAGTCAGAACAGCAAAGAAGATCCGTCATCACTTACAATATCCCCCTATTTTCCAATATGTCCAGCATTTCCCAAAACATGAACTATCTCCTCAGGCAGACAGAACTCTCCACCTCAGACGTCCAATCGGTAAGTAACCACCTGCACACATCCCCCTCCGCTTTCCTTAGGGTCATTTTCCTTCAAGAAAGCTCCAGCAAGTCCTTCTTACAGGCCTTCAAACAAAAGCGCAGATATTGGCACTCTGATACTCAAGAGGACTCCCAGCTTAGGATTGAAAAGGACATCCCTCTTCAAGAGCGTTTGGATAGAGTTCCTCTTATGACTATTATCGAAGTGCTCAACAAGACCCAAGACACCGATGACTCCAAGAACCCATATCATGACAAATTTCTCAAACCCGAGCTTAATTCCCTACAGCTCTACGACCAAGACAATGAACTCCTTTTGGCCCAGGTCGTTTACCTATCCAGCAAGCACTTGCAGTTCCAGTGCCAGCTCCTTTTGCACCCCAGCATTTTCAACATAGTAGTGGAGTTCTTCCCCAAACACTTTGGCTCCAAAATGAGATCCTTCTTATTGTTTGTTCAAGGGTACACCCAGTCCTCCAGACACTCTACCACAACCCTTAGGTATCATTATGGCCAATCAAAGGATGTTTCAAACATCTCAGTCACAGATGCAGTGAAGTTCTTCCCCTATGACATTTTCCCCATAGAACTGGACTCCACCCTTTCCGCGCAGCTCACCGACCACCCTGCTTTTCTAGTTCAGGGATTCTCAGGGATCCAGCCACTCATCCAACAGGCTTTGCAAGACTTCAATTTGTCATATGCTGATTTCGGTCATAAGGGTAAAGGCAGCAAAGACTCCAAAGGTAAGGAAAAGGGGAAAGATTATCAGACTTCCTCATGGACTAAAGGCAAAGATAGACCCAAAGGTAAAGGTTACCAGAGCTCAGGTTACAAGGGCAAAGGTGAAATTTTCGATAGGCTCCAACAAGAAGGCAAAGGTAACAAGGACTCTAGGTCCAAGCCATTGGCAAACCAAAGTTGAGGATTATTCCCAGCACTCCCGCCCTAATGCTTGGTACAATAAAAAGGACTATGACAATTGGGGCTCCGACAACGCGTGGGGGGCCACTTCTCAAGGCTCCTCCGGACCTACGCGACAAGGCAAAGGCAACTCCTCCGAAAAGCGTGACTTGGAAGTTGCAAACAGCTCTAATATTTTCCCTTGCTCTGAGTGTATGTCTTTAGCTGGCACGAATTCCTCTTGCAGAGTATGCGCTCATGAACATTGGCAGCACTATGAACACCTTAATAAATCCTTTAGATCTGTCAAAAAGTTCCAGCAACCTAAACTTGAGTCCTTTCCCTGCCCAATTATGCTCCCTGATGGTAAGAACTGTGTAGGCTCTGATGACAGTTTTGGAACAGGAAATTGTTTAGGCTGTGTTCTCTACAGAGACTACATCTTCAAAGTACATGCAGCGCAACATCCTCCTCTCTGTCCCTACAACAATGTGCTCTATTTAGGATATGAGAGAGCAATCATAGCCACTCTAGAGGATTCATCTCATGAGCTCCTTGAGTCCCTTCAGGAAGCATGCTACTCTGACACCTACACTGATGCCTCAGATGAATTTCAAGCATGGTGGGATAAGTTAGTTCACCCCTTAGAACCTGATGATGACCCTCTTTTTGAGCTCCCAAAACGGACAGACCCCATTGAGTACCAATCTCCAGCCAAGACCTCCTTTATGATGCAAACCCCTTTCTTCACACAGCTTGGTAATTCAATTTCTTCCTGTAACATTCATTCTTGCTCTACCTTTCTCACACTTATTGAGGAAGCTTTGCTACCACTCTCAGAGAGTGTTATCCAAGACTACAACCTCCCTTCCCCTCAAACAATTCCCTCCCTTCAACTTTCTTACAAAGACCTCACTACTTTAGTTTGGGTCCCTTGGGACCATATGGTCAGAACCAGCTACTTTATGGCCCTTGATTACTTTCAGAGAACCCCAGTTTGGGATATTCCGGCGATTGAATCCCTCCTGAACAACCTCCTCCCATCGCAAGACCAACCCTATCTCCAACAATTCACAGACAACTTTGTTGAAATCTTACGTTACATTCCATTGTTTACAGACATCTTCACAGGGCTCGCCCCATTTACAAATGCTCCCCTTAAAAAGTTAGCATCAGCTGGCTCCTCTTTCTTTGATCAGGTATATGCACAGCTCGCCTCCCTCCTTAAATTCCAGACCACAACTAAGCAAAATCTCGTTGCCCCCAATGATGCTTTTGTTGAGATCTATGATCAAGTCATGCACTCAATTTCCCCAGACAGCCCTCTTTACCAACATAGAGATCAGTACCTCAGCAGACACTGGAATAATAAAGAAATAGCCTTGAATCTCTATCATTTATCTTAGTAGAGCAAGGTTTTCACTCCTTTGTTTGGATAATGGCATGGATTTGTATTCAACTTTCCTACAAAGGCCATTCTTACTCCTTTGTCAATCCCTATGTCACTGGCTGACCCAGGTGGCTATCGATAGCTGATACTACAAGCTCGGCTTCACTCCATCCTACATCAAGCTCACCTAGGGACGGAGATCCCACTGCAGATTTACCAATGGAACGATTTACATTAGATGCCTCTGGACCTCAAAGTCCAAGCATCAACCGATTTACATTATGGCATTTCAAAGCCATGGAAGGCTCCTTCACATGGGCTGCTCCAACCTTGGGACAAGATTTACCAATGGAAAGATTTACATTAGGTGCTTGGGCGCTGCCCTTCACCACCAGATTTACATTATGCAATACCTTTTCCCTACTTGATTCCAAACCATGGAATGCGCTTGTGGGCATTGCCCCTTGTGCATACAGTGTGTACAAAGCCGCGCGTAGCAAAGACTCAGTAGTTTCAACAGCATCACCATGTTGCTTTTCACCAAGTCAAGTGAGCGCCTACCACAGATCTTGCAGTCTTCTTCCTGATTATGTATTACCCAAGCCCAGTTTTTGCAAAGATCTGCTTAGCGTGACAATGCCTACATGCATCCAGCAGCGAGTGAAATTCTCAGGTTTTGCTTGTAAGAGTTTGAACAAGCTAATCCATTCCCTTAATGGAAACTATGACTGTTTTAAAACATATACCCCAAAGTTCAGATCAGCTTATTGGAAGAACTCTTTTACACTACCTAATGGAATGATTGTCTTTGATTAT